GTACAGTCAACTTAACACAATGTCCAGACACTACAACAGTGTACAGTCAACTTAACACAATGTCCAGACACTACAACAGTGTACAGTCAACTTAACACAATGCCCAGACACTACAACAGTGTACAGTCAACTTAACACAAAACCAACAACAGCACAAAATCAACAACAGAACACAAAATCAACAACAGAACACAAAATCAACAACAGAACACAAAATCAACAACAGAACACAAAATCAACAGTGCACAAAAACAAAAAATACAAAACCAACAACACACAGGAACACAAAACACAAAACCAACAATACAAAACCAACAACACACAGGAACACAAAACCAACAGAACACAAGAACACCACAAAACCAACAACAGAACACAACACCACAAAACCAACAACAGAGCAGAAGAACACAAAACCTACAACAACACAAAACAACACACAGGAACACAAAACCAACAACAATACAAAACAACACACAGGAACACAAAACCAACAGAACACAAGAACACCACAAAACCAACAACAGAACACAAGAACACAAAACCAACAGCAATACAAAACACACAGGAACACAAAACCAACAGAACACAAGAACAGCATAAAACCAACAGAACACAAGATCAACACAAAACTAACACAGGAACACAAGAACACTACAAAACTAATACAGGAACACAAGAACATCACAAAATCAACAACAAAACACAAGAACAACACAAAACCAACAACAAAAAAACACAACAAAACCAATACCAGAACACAACACCACCACAAAACCAACAACAAAACACAAGAACAACACAAAACCAACAGAACACAAGAACACAACAAAACCAATACCAGAATACAAGAATACCACAAAACCAACAACCAAGAACACAAGAGAAACACACAAACCAACACCAGAACAACACTAAACCACACCAGAACACAAAAACCACACAAAAACCAACACCAGAACACAAGAACAAACCCAACACCAGAACACAAAAGCAACAGAACACAAGACCACCACAAAACCAACAACACACAAGAACACCACACAAACCAACACAAAAGAACACAAAACCAACAACAAAACAATACAAAACCAACAGAACACAAGAACAGGAAACCAACAGGACACAAAACCAACAACAGAACACAACACAAACCACCAACAGAACACAAAACCAACAACAGAACACAACACAAAAACCACCAACAGAACACAAGAACACAAAACCAAAACAACAGACACAAAACAACAACAGACACAAAACACAAAACCAAGAGAACACAAGAGCACAAAACCAACCACAGAACACAAAACGAACAGAACACAAGAACACAAAACCAACAAAAGAACACAAGAATACAAAAACTAACAATGGAACACAAGAAAACAAAACCAAGAGAATGCAAGAAGACAAATCCAACAACAGAACAGAACACAAAACCAACAACAACTACAAGAACACAAAACCAACAACACACTAGAACACAAAACCAACAACAATTAGAAAAAACCAACAACAACACTAGAACACAAAACCAACAACACACTAGAACACAAAACCAACAACAACACACTAGAACACAAAACCAACAACACACTAGAACACAAAACCAACAACAACACCAGAACACAAAACCAACAACAACACACTAGAACACAAAACCAACAACAACACACTAGAACACAAAACCAACAACAACACACTAGAACACAAAACCAACAACACACTAGAACACAAAACCAACAACAACACACTAGAACACAAAACCAACAACAACACACTAGAACACAAAACCAACAACACACTAGAACACAAAACCAACAACACACTAGAACACAAAACCAACAACAACACACTAGAACACAAAACCAACAACACACTAGAACACAAAACCAACAACAACACACTAGAACACAAAACCAACAACAACACACTAGAACACAAAACCAACAACACACTAGAACACAAAACCAACAACAACACACTAGAACACAAAACCAACAACAACACACTAGAACACAAAACCAACAACACACCAGAACACAAAACCAACAACAACACACTAGAACACAAAACCAACAACAACACACAGAACACAAACAACAACACACAAACACAAACCAACACACACCAGAACACAAAACCAACAACACACCAGAACACAAAACCAACAACACACCAGAACACAAAACCAACAACACACCAGAACACAAAACCAACAACACACCAGAACACAAAACCAACAACACACCAGAACACAAAACCAACAACACACCAGAACACAAAACCAACAACACACCAGAACACAAAACCAACAACACACCAGAACACAAAACCAACAACAACACACACGACCACAAGAACAAACAAGCAGAAAACAACATAAGAACAACAAACAATTCACTGCGTACTAATAGCTAGAAATGTGCTATGTGCGGGTTATTTGCGTACGTGTGTATAGTAAAAGGTCTATCCCACAACTAGTTTATAGATCTAACCCACAACTAACAGTTTTTAGATCTACAGCATCCCACAACTAGTTTATATTATTATTATAATCAAGGGGGAAGCGCTAAACCCGGAGGATTATACAGCGCCTGGGGGGGGGATGTGGAAGGCATTCAGGCTTAATTCGGGGAACTGGAGCACAGATCCAATTCCCTAAATCAAGAGCCCCTCACCAACATCAAGGAGCCTTCCTTGAGGGGAACTAGTTTATAAATCTACAGCATCCCACAACTAGTTTATAAATCTACAGCATCCCACAACTAGTCTATAGATCTATCCCACAACTAGTCTATAGATCTATCCCACAACTAGTTTATAGATCTATCCCACAACTAGTTTATAGATCCCACAACTGGTTTATCGAGCTATCCCACAACTAGTTTATAGATCTATCCCACAACTAGTTTATAGATCTATCCCACAACTAGTTTATAGATCTATCCCACAACTAGTTTATAGATCTATCCCACAACTAGTTTATAGATCTATCCACAACTAGTTTATAGATCTTCCCACAACTAGTTTATGATCTATCCACCAACTAGACATTACAAGACTCCATGGCAATACAAGACTCCCAATGGCAATAACAAGGACCTCCAATGGCAATAACAAGGACCTCCAATGGCAATAACAAGGACCACAATGGCAATAACAAGGACCTCCAATGGCAATAACAAGGACCTCCAATGGCAATAACAAGGACCTCCAATGGCAATAACAAGGACCACAATGGCAATAACAAGGACCTCCAATGGCAATAACAAGGACCACAATGGCAATAACAAGGATCTCCAATGGCAATAACAAGGACCACAATGGCAATAACAAGGACCACAATGGTAATAACAAGGACCCCAATGGCAATAACAAGGACCTCCAATGGCAATAACAATGACCACAATGGCAATAACAAGGATCTCCAATGGCAATAACAAGGATCTCCAATGGCAATAACAAGGACCCCAATGGCAATAACAAGGACCACAATGGCAATAACAAGGACCTCCAATGGCAATAACAAGGACCACAATGGCAATAACAAGGACCTCCAATGGCAATAACAAGGACCACAATGGCAATAACAAGGACCACAATGGCAATAACAAGGACCACAATGGCAATAACAAGGACCCCAATGGCAATAACAAGGACCTCCAATGGCAATAACAAGGACCACATGGCAATAACAAGGACCCAATGGCAATAACAAGGACCCAATGGCAATAACAGGGACCTTCAATGGCAATAACAAGGACCACAATGGCAATAACAAGGACCACAATGGCAATAACAAGGACCACCAATGGCAATAACAAGGACCACAATGGCAATAACAAGGACCACAATGGCAATAACAAGGACACAATGGCAATAACAAGGACCTCCAATGGCAATAACAAGGACCACAATGGCAATAACAAGGACCACAATGGCAATAACAAGGACACAATGGCAATAACAAGGACCACAATGGTAATAACAAGGACCCCAATGGCAATAACAAGGACCTCCAATGGCAATAACAAGGACCACAATGGCAATAACAAGGACCACAATGGCAATAACAAGGACCTCCAATGGCAATAACAAGGACCACAATGACAATAACAAGGATCTCCAATGGCAATAACAAGGACCTCCAATGGCAATAACCAGGACCTCCAATGGCAATAACAAGGACCACAATGGCAATAACAAGGACCTCCAACGGCAATAACAAGGACCACAATGGCAATAACAAGGACCACAATGGCAATAACAAGGACCTCCAATGGCAATAACAAGAACCACAATGGCAATAACAAGGACCTCAATGGCAATAACAAGGACCTCAATGGCAATAACAAAGACCACAATGGCAATAACAGGGACCTCAATGGCAATAACAAGGACCACAATGGCAATAACAAGGACCTCAATGGCAATAACAAGGACCACAATGGCAATAACAAGGACCACAATGGCAATAACAAGGACCTCAATGGCAATAACAAGGACCACAATGACAATAACAAGGACCACAATGGCAATAACAAGGACCACAATGGCAATAACAAGGACCTCAATGGCAATAAGGACCTTAATGGCAATAACAAGGACCTCAATGGCAATAAGGACCTTAATGGCAATAACAAGGACCTCCAATGGCAATAACAAGGACAACAACGGCAATAACAAGGACCACAATGGCAATAACAAGGACCATAATGGCAATAATTCAGTATGGCTGACTTTTTGTGTTATCCTGGGTAATTTACACTAAGTATGATAATTGTACTTGTGTATATCTGTACCTCAGCAAACTTACTGAGAAACATTTGTGTGCAACACAGACTACCTACACAGTTTCACGTGTAGGTACGATCGGGTCAATTTAAAAAAAACCTGCAAACAAACAATCCCAGTTTAGCTTCAAGAGGAGTGAGTAGGAGCGGTGGTTGGACCCCCTGGGGTGATAAAGAGGCCGAGACAAGACAGAACAAACTCACCTCCTCAACATTGCGTTTAGGGATGTGGAAGAATGATAGGAGTAATTTAAGCTTAACTTGAGTCTGGAGCTCAACAAAACATTCCTTGATGTTCCTGAGCACTTCCACGTTCAGCTGTGCACATATAGAGCCCTCGGACCAGGTGTCGGCGGACGTTCCCAGTTTATTGTGAAGCCACAGCGAAATATCGCTGTCCCGAGCAGCCGCCATTGTGGGTGTCCCAGGTGTGACGTCACCACCTCGCTGCCAGCCATCTTGATGACGTCACAACCCGCCAACTTTAAACAGGTAAACAAATCATTAGCGTGGTCGCCATCTTGATGACGTCACAACCCGCCAACTTTAAACAGGTAAACAGATCATTAGCATGGCCGCCATCTTTATGACGTCACAACCCGCCAACTTTAAGCATAAATCCGCCATTTTGATGACGTCACAACCCGGGAACTTCAAACATAAAGAAATCCGCCATCTTGGAGACTCTACAACCTGCCAAATTCAAACACTTAAATCATTTGCAAACTTCCCTGTAGGGCGGTGTCTTGATGCCCCATAACGAGCTCTTGATCCAAGGTCTTAGCCTTACCTTCCTTGCATTGAACCTGATTATGCCCATTACTCCAGGAGCTGACTGACCAGTGCCAGTGGCTCAACTGGTAGCAGCCTCAGTTCACACATTGAAGTACCGGAGTTCGATCTTCGGAGTAGAAATGTTAGTTATATTTCCTTACACCAGCTGCCCCTGTTCACCTAGCAGGAAGCAGGTACCTGGGTATTCGTCACCTTACATTCCTTACAGTTATTGTTAAAAGTACCTCATTGCATCAATGTGATCTATGCAACAATATACTATGTTAAACAAAACTTGAAATCTGCTGTTTATATCCAGTTATGTTCCTGTTCTTCCAGGATGATGAATTAGACACCTGTGCAACATGTGGGTATCTTTATTGTGGAAACGTATCGCCAGTCAGTGGCTTCCCCGATCCAATGCAGAGAAGAATGATTGATGGAGTTTGAGGTAATCAGTCCCTCAGTCTGGAGTCGATATAATCAGCCCATCAATCTTGATAAGAGTACAACATAAGCGTGGAGGAACTTATATACTGCAGACAGGTGATAGGAAACAATAGTAGACGGTGTTACCTAGGACAAATCCACAGGTGGAAGTAGGTCATGGCTATAGGTTAAGCAAGCCTAGAATTCACTGTATCAAGATCCCAAGACGTTGCTGTGTCTGACAGGAATGTAGACAAGTGTCTACATTCACCTGCTTCACTCACCTGTCTACTGTATATAAGCTCCTTAAAAAGGCATATGCTTCACTCTTGCAAAGACTGACGGACTGATCACGTCGACTCCAGACTGAGGGACTGATTACCTCAAATTCCTCCTGATCTTCAACCATTCTTCTCTGTATTGGACTGAGGTTGGCGAAACGTTTCCTTAATAAAAGTACCCAAGTGTTGCACAGATGTCTCAGTAGGTTCTCAGAATCAATTGTCTGCATTCTTCTTCCAGCCTTCCTTCAATGCCTCTATATATATATTGTAATTTTAGTAACTAGTACCACTAACTTTGTTAAACTTAGTAAGTCAGTTTATTCAGATATACACAAATATAAAAATACTGGTGGCTATAGCTCTCACTTCACACGGCGAGGGTCTGGGTTCGATCCCCAGCCAGAGTAGAAACATTGGGAGTGTTTCTTTACACCTGTTGTCTATGGCCCGGTGGCCTGGTGGCTAAAGCTCCCGCTTCACACACGGAGGTCCCGGGTTCGATTCCCGGCGGGTGGAAACATTTCGACACGTTTCCTTACACCTGTTGTCCTGTTCCCCTAGCAGCAAATAGGTACCTGGGTGTTAGTCGACTGGTGTGGGTCGCATCCTGGGGGACAAGATTAAGGACCACAATGGAAATAAGTTAGACAGTCCTCGATGACGCACTGACTTTCTTGGGTTATCCTGGGTGGCTAACCCTCCGGGGTTAAAAATCCGAACGAAATCTTATCTTATCTTGTCACCCGAAACTCTCTCCAGGTAAACTCCAGGTAAACCCATCAGTAAACTAGGTACCCGGGTGTTAGTCAACAGGTGTGGGTCGCATCCTGGGACAAAACTGACCTAATTTGCGGTAAATGCTCAGCATAACAAGTGTCTTTGTATGTAGTAGTATGTCACTGATGTCAGTTATGACTATACCATAAGATAAGATAAGATAAGATTTCGTTCGGATTTTTAACCCCGGAGGGTTAGCCACCCAGGATAACCCAAGAAAGTCAGTGCGTCATCGAGGACTGTCTAACTTATTTCCATTGTGGTCCTTAATCTTGTCCCCCAGGATGCGACCCACACCAGTCGACTAACACCCAGGTACCTATTTGCTGCTAGGGGAACAGGACAACAGGTGTAAGGAAACGTGTCGAAATGTTTCCACCCGCCGGGAATCGAACCCGGGCCCTCCGTGTGTGAAGCGGGAGCTTTAGCCACCAGGCCACCGGGCCACCAATGTATATGTATATGTAGTAGATAAAAATATTGTTATTGTTATACATAGCAGTATATATGTAGTGAACCTAAGATAACCCAAAAAAGTCAAAGTGACTTATTTCCATTGTGGTCCTTAATTTATTTCCATTGTGGTCATTAACTTATTTCCATTGTGGCCCTTAATTATATCTTCTTATTTTGGTTTTTATTATGAATTAACTGAGTTAAGTTTAAGTACAGTATATACTAGGCTTTCCCAGAGACTGCATTTTTTTCGGGGCTTTCAGTTTATTGTAAGTGTTGGGAAGTAATATTGAAATTTGGATTAGTATTTGTATTTGTATTTGACCACCATTAATACTCAACAAATGTTTATAGCCAATTGTTTCATGCTAAAAATGTATTAGTGACTTTATGTTATAGGTAGTTATAAATTATTTGTTTAAGTCTGCCTGGCATCCTATGCATGATCAGGAACTTTCTGTAATGTCAGAAATAATAATAATAATAATAATAATAATAATAATAATAATAATTTTACTTACTACATGTACAAGGTATACAGACCATAGTTGACATCAATGACATACTAATATATAGAAAGCCCCTTGTTATGCTGAGCATTTCCTGCAAATTATGTCAGTTTTGTCCCAGGATGCGACCCACACCTGTTGACTAACTCCCAGGTACCCATTTTACTGATGGGTGAACATGGGCAGCAGGTGTAAGGAAACACGCCCAATGTTTCCACCCCTTCACCGGGAGTCGAACCCGGACCGTCACCGTGTGAAGCGAGAGCAATGCCACCAGGCCACGGTGCCCCGTAGCCACCAACTGTTAACCCTGTTCACCTAGCAGTAAGCAGGTACCTGGGTGTTAATTACCTTACACCTGCTGTCCCTGTTTACCTAGCAGTAAGCAGGTACCTGGGTGTCAGGTAACTATCCCTGGCAACACCCCCCCCCCCACTCTTCATAGACCTAAACTTACTCCCTGTTCAGTACATCCACACTTACTACTGTGCAATCTACATCTACAGGACCTTAAACTCCAATATCAACCTTGACCTAAAACGCTTTCTTGATAGTTGTGACAGAACCCACAGGCATAACACCAGACACAAACATCTCTACGACATTCCCCGTGTCCGACTAAACCTTTACAAAAATTTATTGTATTTCAAAGGACCTAAAATCTGGAACACCCTACCTGAAAACTCTAGAACTGTAGACACATTCATCACTTTCAAAACTACAGTTAGAAAACATCTTATGGCAGCACACCCCCCCCACTCTTCAAAGATCTAAACTTACTCCCAGTTCAGTACATCCACACTTACTACTGTGCAATCTATATCTACAGGGCCTTAAACTCTAATATCAACCTTGACCTAAAACGCTTTCTTGATAGTTGTGACAGAACCCACAGGCATAACACCAGACACAAACATCTCTACGACATTCCCCGTGTCCGACTAAACCTTTACAAAAATTCAATGTATGTCAATGGCCCTAAAATCTGGAACACCCTACCTGAGAACTCTAGAACTGCAGACACATTCATCACCTTCAAAACTACCATTAGAAAACATCTTATCTCCCTGATACACCCCGTCAACTAACTACACGAATACCACCTGGTGGTTCACACTTACACTCACTCACTCATTTGACCATAAACAGAAATATTAATCTCAGTCTTAAAATAATGAATCCTGTGATACTCCAATACTGAAACTATGTACTGTGCCAAAACAAAAGCATTCACATTGCTAAACTCATAAACTAGTATTTAGTCACTTAGCCATAATACCAACTTACCTCATAATTTGTAATATTTTAAAATAAAGAATTAAACTAAGTCTGCCCGAAATGCCTAGCCATGCTAGGTGTTCTAGTGGTACACTCTGTAATCATTATTTAACTACATGTAAACCACACAATAACCAAATTCTGTAAATTCAACATTGTAATCTTTATAGAGAATAAACTTTGAATTTGAATTTGAATATCGTGGGTGGCATCCTGGGTAAGAGGACCAAGGGACCGCAAAGGAACTAAACATATATATTAGTGACAATCTTAGTGATCCTGGGATATTCACTCTCAGATTTAGGAACCTGAGTAGTTCTTCTTGTATTAGACATTATACTGATTTTTGACTTTCAGAAGATAAGAAATAAAGTGTAAATAAATCTGTAAGGTACAACAGAGAACCTGTAATGTAATAAAATGGAAAAAAAATTGAAAATAAATCCTTGATAGGAGAGGATGGTTAAGGTTAGTACATAAGTACAGGTACATTAGTACATAGTACAGGTGCACATAAGTACAGCTATCATACATACTAACATATATATAAATTACCTAGAATGACAAAAAAAAGTCTGGGTCCATGATATTTCCATAATACCCTGAGGCCTCATGGCCTGGTAGTTCAAGTTCTCGCTTCACACGACAAGTGTCCGGGTTCGATTCTCGGCGAGGGTAGAAACATTGGGCGTGTTTCTTTACACCTGCTGTCTATGCTCACCCATTAGTAAAATGGGTACCTGAGTGTTAGTGGACTGGTGTGGGTCGCATCCTGGGAACAAAATTAACCTAAGCTGTAGGAAATGCTCTGCCATAACCAGGTGCTTTCTATAATATAGTACTAAGTCAGCTATGATCTGTATAAGTTGTATCATGTACTGGTAGAAATAAAAATTATTATTATACGCTGAGA